TTTCTTTTTTTCTCCCCGACGCATCTGTTTAGCTGCTTCTTCTAGTCATGGCTAGTGCAGTGGTAGCTCCTCACTCCTCTAATGGTGCCTACACTCCTGGTTCTCCCTTCTAGGAGAGTGGGAGCTTTCTTACAAGTGTACACTGTTAGGGGCAAGCCTCATCTCTGGTCACTAGGAGAGTGTGGAGTACAAGAAAAAAATTTGGACTCCAAGAGCCACAGGTAGGTTTCTGCAATGCCATTGTTTTCTCTGAAGCCACTCACAAAAGTTTAAGATTAGGTGCGGCACGTGTCTGGTCAGCCACTACAGGTCACCAGTCTCTCCTTTTTTTTCTTGGTCTGCTCAGCTATTTCTCCTTGTCAGCATTCATTCCCTCTTTATTCCTTCATCTGAAGCTCAGAATTCCAGACTGTCATTTGCATCTATTTCATTTGGTTTTCAGCACCTTTGTTGTAGAGGATCTGTACAGCCCTTCTGACAGTCTGCCATCTTGCCCACCTCCATTCTTGATAGCCATATTGTATCTTTTTTTGAGGTAGTTTAATTTTGTATATATGTATAACTTTTAGGTGAAACTATGCACACAGACTCAGATTCCCATTCAGCAGTCTATCGCAGATTATTCTGTGGTATTGGTTACAATCCCCACAACGTATCATCTCCTCATTTCCACTCCTCCTGCTATCTTTATATCTTCCTGTTTCCTTACCCCTCTTTTCCCTCTTTTCTTTACTACTGGATGTTGACCATTTTGTCTCATAAAGTTGGTTGTTTAAAGGAGCATTTTCCTCACAGATGTTACTGTTTATTTTATAGCCAATCTATTATTTGATGGAAAGGTGACCTGTGGGGTGAGATAATTTAATTTTTAACAAAATTTGTTCACTTAAAAAATGTATGAGTATTACAAATGCTATTAAATTGTATGCATATTAAACTTTTAGTTAATTTAAAGATTTTAATAAAAGACAAACATGTAAAGTTTGCTCCTATTTTCCCCTTTTTAGCCATTAACAGGCCAGATATCACAGATACGGAAATGGAGACAGTTATGGACACTATTGTTGATAGCCTCTTCTGCTTTTTTGTTACATTGGGTAAGTTTTCAAATATTTCATGCTTTTTCCAAGGGAATGA